ATGAATATTTATAAATAATTTATAACTATATATATATATATATATATATATATATATATATATATATATATATATATATATATATATATATATTTGTATGATAAAAATAATACTTTATGATTTCTTCATATTTTATTTTTGTTTTTATACTTGGGCTGTATTTAATACATTTAAATATATCTTACAGCAATAAACCTGATATATAAAATAATATTGCATTTAATACCCTTCTATTCGTTCTATTCATAAAAAAAATGTAAAAAAGATTTGTTTTTTTTAATTCTTTTTTTTATACATATCTATATTATATAAGAAGAATATATTTAAGAAGTTTATGTACCAGAATCTTAAAAAATCTATCTGTACTAAGTCTCTTAGAAATTAAAAAATTAGATTACTTCAAATTTTAACTTAGGGGAGAGCAGGTAGGATTCGTACAGCGGGAGCATTCGTACAGTAGGCATATCTTGACCACTCTTTGTTTTGACACATTTATAATTATGTGTGTGTGAAGACCACTAATGCACAAAGGCGAACAGCTTAGTGCCGTGGTAGTGCTATCCTAATCGTCATTGGAACAAGTCGTTACGTGTTTTTGCACTGCTAAAGTAATTTTACAAATAATCTTTGAAAACATTTATTTGTAATAATTTTTGATCCTATTAATGAAATAATTTATTATGCTTTTTGTATAAGTGTCTTATATTAATATCTAATCAATAGTTTTCTAATAACCTTATCCGTTATTTTTTTTTTTGAATTTATATGTTAGTTGATATGGTTGGGGTACATTCGTACAGTAATAAGTGGGGAGGATTCGTACTGTAAATACGTATGAAAAAACCCGCGCAGCCTTTATTTCGCATTTAAACAGACAGCCGTAACTGATATCTAAGAGAAGTTAGAAAAGCTTTTGAGAAAATATGTATTCTCTGCATATAGGATATATAATTTTATTTTTATTATGTTTAATATTTATTTTGTTTCAGTTTTAAACTTAATAAATGTTTATTTTCAATAAATATATTTTTAACTTAGTAATAAAGTACCGAACAAAAAACTGAACGAAGCTACCCCGCGTTTGAGGTGCATTTGTACGATCTCCATTTTTTTGCAAAAGACATCATAGTACTGTCTTGTTAGCTTTTTTCAAGACTAAACTACAATATTATAAAAGCCAGATATTTAGGTTACTCAGCAGCATCAAAATTATTTTAAAATAGTAATTATTTTTGCTTTTATACGACTTAGTGTAAAAAGTGTACGAATCCTACCTGCTTTCCCCTACATATCACATCAACATATATTTTTTCTTAATTTCTGAAAAGAATATAAAATCAATTACAAGATCATAAAAAAGTATGATAGTAAATTGAATGAAAATGATGGTAATAATTAAAGTTTTAGTCTAAACAGTTGGAAAATAATTGTAAAAGAATAGAACTCTTTGGTCCAAGGTTTATTTTAAAAAATATTTCAATATAATTGTCACTATGTCTTCATAGCTTAGAGATATCTGTAGATATAGATATGTTAAATTTTTAAAAGTTAATTCAATTTACAAAGCACAAGAATTAACTAAAGAAGCGCAATAGAAAATATTACATTTTATTCCATTATTTTATAAGATAACATATTAATACTCAAATAGATCTTCAAAAATTTTTAAGCAAACACCAAGATTCTTGAATAAAGAAACATGGTTGCAAAGGTTGTTTTTCTGCTATTTTTTGCATTGCTTGCAAGTTATTGGTTTGACTATATCTGGAATAAACTCATCAAAAATGGAATTATACAACTGGTATACTGGAGAATAAAGGAATAAAGTCTGAATAAAAATCAAGAAACAAAATCAAAACCAAAACATAATAACAAAAACTCACTATGTAAAAAGCACACTAAAAACTCTGAGCAAAAGATAAAAACTGCAGTGTGATTTTGAAAAACTATTATCTCAACTTTACAAGTATCCGACTATTCAAAGTTTAATTACTGAAGCCTTTTTAAATGATTTGTCACTCTCCTACTTATTAATAAATCAATTGTAGATATTTTTATATACTATGGCATTTTTATTTACAAAGAAGAGAAATTGAATGAACTTTTATAATAGTATAATTAAGATCATTTGTTTTTATAAAACAACTATATGATGTATAACAGTTTTTTATATATTGTTGTTTTATAAGAACGATTAAGTGTATTTTAACAGTTGAATAATGTTTTTTATTTATTATTTTTATTTTGTCGATCTTAAGGCTTTTTTCTAGTCACGCAACAAACTTTATAATTTTTGCCTCATTTTATTATCAAATAATGTTTTTCTCTAAAATACTGTTACCGTAGCCTTGAATCAAACAAATCCAAATCCAAAATGGTTTCCTTGAAAAGGAATGAAAAGGATTTTTGATCTTTAGTTGTAAAGTTTAGTTGGGTGGAAATTTTTTGTCTTCCTGCTAATAAATGTGCTTCTTACATAACTTCTTGGATTCAGGCTGGCATGGAATCTTTTATTTCCTCTTGACGATTCCAAATCAAGCCTCACTTTTCTCCTTGGTTTGCCTTACATTGTAAAATAGTTTTGTATAACTGCGTAGCCCGCTATTATCAGGTCATGAAGTCTCGTATTTCATCTCAAAAATTAGGCTCTTGTAACTTCTGGAGAATCTTTAACAGCATTAATAATAAGGGCAAATCTGTTATTCCACCTCTCTTGTATGGTTCAGATTTTATCACCTCACCTAAAGACAATGCTGAATTGTTTGCTAAGAACTTTTCATTAATATCATCTCTTGATTCCACTAGCTACATTCTACCTGATATTGCCATCAAACAGGTTTCAACAGTATTCCATACTCCTTGAATGGAATACTGTTGCCTTATCTGGGGCAGATATTTTAATAATGCTCTATTTCTTTTAGACAAGGTGCAAAAACCCATTGTAAACATCATTGGACCTGATCTTGCAGCCAACCTCCAACCATTATCACAGTTTTGTAATGTTGCTTCTTTTTCTCTTTTCTAAAAATACTATAATGGGCACTGCTCTAAAGAGCTAGTGTCTCTGGTGCCATCTACTAAAATTCGTTCTTGTGTTACTTGTCATTCAATTAAGTTTCACCCTTTTTCTGTGACTATCCCTGTGCTCCAAAAACTCTTATTTGTCCTTTATCTTTTTTTTTCTTATTCATATAATTTGCCATCTTTTTGTCATTGCCAATTGTTATCTTGCTCTATAAATTTCATCTTTTCTTATCCTGTAACTTCCAACTCTAATAGTGGTTGCTTGCAGCCTTGTTGGAAGTGAATATCTTGAAAAATGTATATATATATATTTTTTGACAAATATAAAAAAAAATTTCAAGACTAAATTACTACAAAATATACAAATAATTACTACAAAATATACTCAAAATAATCTCGATAGATTGCTTATTTCTTTGAGCATTTGAAGTCATTTATATACAAATATATTTACATTATCAAAATTAAAATGTTAACTTTCTTATAAGATAAGAATAGTTTCTATACATGATAAGAGTATCACTGTTGTTAGGAGAGTCAACATGATAAATAAACATTTACATAGAGAATGCCTAGAACATAGATTATATAGATTATAACCAACTAATTTAATTTATTAGGGTCCGCATTCAGCAATGCCGACCTAACTGCCGAACTGAAAGTGTTTGAGGCCATCAATTTTTTGCCGACCTCATTTCTATGTTTTATGGTCAGACCTTTGTATCAAATAACTTTTGGTGACCTGATGCCAATCTCAAAAAGATTAAGGTTGGCAAATTATTGTCGACCTCGTTTTTCCTAATTTCGAGGGTTGATATATATATATATATATATATATATATATATATATATATATATATATATATATATATATATATATATATATATATATATATATATATATATATATCACAATTAGTTTTTAAAATTTTGACTTAATAAAAAAGATTTTTTTTTGCTGTAATAACTTTTATATAAATACATAGTACCTTTCCAAATTCAAACTGTCAGTTGATGTATGCACTTAAGCTTCCCTCCCTTCCCCAAGATGCCTATTTTAGTTGATGTTTGATTGTTATAATTAAAACCAACCTTTAAAAAGATAACATTTAAAAACATAAATAAGTAAGAAAAAAAATTTTCAATGCTGACCTTATGATAAATCAACAATTCAAATAATTTCCATTGTATTAAGGAAAAAATAAATTACAAAATACTTGAAAAAGATTTTCCTAATTAAGTTGTTAAACCTGGTATGCCTAATTTAACTTGCATTATTCTGGATAAAGTAACCACTTGCTAATCTAGGTCCAAATTTTGTGTATTTCAGAAAAACATTTTTTGCATAGACAGTATTACTAAAATTGAAACCTCACAAATGGAAAACTTGGATAAAATAAAACACTTTTATTTTATCCAAGACAAAACTTTTGTATTTTTTCAAATTCACTTAAGTTAAGATTAAAAGAAAATTGATCAAAACAATATTTTTTTATAAATAACTTGAAAAATAGCTTTTACAAAGTAGTTTATATCTCATTGATGTAGGGCACAGGTTTCTTAATATAATCAACAAAATATACTAGTAATATGCAAAGTTTATTATCTGAAAAATTTACTAGTAGTGTATATACTAGCATATCAGATCTGCACTAGTGTAATGAGATAACATTTGCCCATTTCAAGTTTTAAAATGCCAACTTTAATTTGACCGATTTAAAAAAAAAATGAAAATAAAGAATAAAAATCTAACAATTTTTGTCATAAAAAATTTTATTAAAATATTATACCTCCTATACACACTTACTAATGTAAATTTTAATTTTTCCAAACCTTTTTTTTTTTTTTTTTAATAATAATAAGAAAAAAAAAGAGTAATGAAAAAATAGATTATCTCTAGTATAAAAAGTATTTTTTTTAATATTTAAATACAAAAGCTTTAAAAGTGAAATGAAATCTTATAAATTTTTTTAAAGATTGGTGAAAATTTCTTCTGACAACAATACATTGGTTATATATTCAGACTATGGCTACTCCAGATATCGATATATGGAACTTGACCTCAGATATATGCTACTATTGCAGGAATGGAGAGTATGATAAATGTGCATGTAGAACAGAAAGCGTTATGGGAACCATTTACCATTCTCATGGTGATCTTTCAAGTGATAGTTTAGACGAATGTGTTGATCAACATTTTCAAGCTAATTTAACTTGTACAGCAAAAACTTACCAGTCATCTTTTAATAACCAATATATAACTGATGATGCATTTAAAAATCGATTTTTAAATGAAAGAATGCTTCCACCTTCAGAAACAGATTGGAGAATAGTTGATTCTTTACTCAAGAAGTATATTGATGTTGACGAAACTAATGAAAAAAAAGTAACTACACAGTATAGTTTAAAAAAGGCGTCAAGCATTCAAATGGTTTTTGTTGATAGTGATGAAAGTGAAATTGAAGATACTTCACATTACAGTGAAATTGAACCAATGAATTCTATTAAATATGTATGTCTCGAGTCAGAGAGGAACACAGCTTCTTGTGATTCAGGGTATGTAGCTGGTGATCTTGAATATAATAACGATCTTACAAGTGATCCAATAAGAAAAAATTCTTTAGAAACTTCAGAAGTATCAAAGCACCTTCTTGCTACTTTGAATAAGTATGATGAACATGATGGTAAGTTAGATGATGGTCTGTTGTCCAATATACGTAACAAAAAAGTTGAAGAATTAAGGAGCATAAAAGAATTTCTTGAAATTCGAATTTCTCAAATAAACTCTGAGCTTGTAGATGAATTGCTTGTGCGGGATGAACTTTATTTACGTCACGAGTCTTTACTAATGGATGCTGACGATTTAGCGAAAACTTGTAAGAAAGATGATGAAGTTATGCTTAAACAAGATGACTCTTCAAAACATTTGTATCAAACACAATCTAATTTAGATAGAACTGTTATATCTCCAAGATCAAAAATAAAGTTCTTTTGGAAAAGATAGTATGTCATGGTAAGAAATGTTCAATGAAATTATACTGTTGAAATCATTTCTTTTTTTTTAATTTTTTGTTGACAGTATTGATGTTAGGGGTTAGGTTAAAAAAAAAAAAAAAAAACATTTTTATAAAGTTTTTGTATTTTCAGATTTTTTTAGATATTATTTTATTTCATTACAATTCAATTCAAACTTTTAAATATAAATAGTTTTAAAGTTTTGGTTTAAAGTTTTTCTGTCTCATAAAATTACTAGTTATGCAGTTACTGTAAATTGAATATATATTATCAATCAATTTTGATGTACATTAAATATTTTTTTATTTATTTTGGTAAATGTTGAAATTTATTTTGAATGAATACGAACACATTATTTTGTATACACACCTTTGGCTACTTATGTAATTGTAAGTGTATATTATATTTTATATACTATATTTTATGTATATATAAAGGAAAAAAAAGAATTTATTGATGTTACATATTTCTATAGAGATAAAAAGATATTTATATGTTTTTGTTTAGTGCCATGAAGTAAATATTTGTAAGTTCATATGATACAATTTGTTAAATACATTTTTTATTTCCATATATATTTTATTTTCAATTTTGTTCCTTTAAAGCTAAAATCTTTAACATAATTATATTATAAACCTAATCTTCATTCTTTGTTACAATCAGTCGTATATAATACATGGCTCGTAAGTATTTTTTGTACAATTTTTATGTATATACACACTTGATATAATATATATATATATATATATATATATATATATATATATATATATATATATATATATATATATATATATATATATATATATATATATATATATATATATATATATATATATAGTATTGTATATAGTATTGCGTACTATGGTAATCTGACATCATACTGAAATAGCCTGCTGCTGGGGGCTTCAGTGCATACATCGACTGACAAATAGCCTGACTCGCAGTGGAGTGCTGCTACATTGACTGAGGGTTTAGTATGGGTCAGCAACCTTTTCATTCATTATTCTTCGTTTTCCCTCATCGTTTTCTAAAAATGCTCACTTAATTTAGGCTAGCAAAAAAAGTGAGCAATTGCGCATATAAAGATGCTATAGTAGATAGCATAGTAGATCTGGAAAAATTAATATGGATTTTTCAGTTCTTAAATAATAATCAAATTTTTTACTTCGAAAACATTCATAACATAAAAATGAAGTCACAGATTATATATACCAGGTATATCAAAGTTTTCAATACTTGGTTTGACCATCCTTGGCAGCTTTCAATGCTTCCACTCTCTTGGGCATGCCCATGATTAAATCATGTCATAGTTTGGTAATTCTCTTGCTGTGAAACCAGACATGGAATAACATTTCTATGAATTGTGTTTTTGTAGAGAGAAGTTCAAGCCTGAGTAAAACTCAAGCTTGAACTCCTTTCAAAGCCTTCTTCTGACTGACAAAACTCTATCATCCAACGCAGTTATTGTTAATTTATCTGAGAATACAATCTGAATTTAAAAAATGTCTGGTATCAGAGAAATTATAGTGAGTACATTAATAGTTATGATGAACACTTACTGATACTAGTCAGAAAACATGATAAAACTGAATGAAATCAAGAAATCAATACTATCATAGGTCTATTAGAAAGCTAAATTAATGATTACCTTTCACTAATCTTCTAGCCTCCAACTTTTATGTTTAACACCCCACCCATCCCTTTTTCTTGGGTCTGTATGCCTTTAATCCTTGCTCCAGCAAGCAATTATTTACTGTTTTAGGGATTACATTAATGCCCTGACTTGCTAATTCCATAGATATCTTTTTACAAGAACGTTTTCTATTGGTGAAGGCTATTACTCTGATCTTTTTTCTAAATCTGGGGGTAGTGATTCTTTTTTCTAAATCTGGGGGTAGTGATTCTTTTTTTCTAAATCTGGGGGTAGTGATTCTTTTTTCTCCTTTTGTTTGAGGCTACTATTCTCCAACAAACGAATTTGTTCTTTTTTCTCTTGGACTTAGGTTTCTTCTTTTTTCCATCACTTTAAAATTGGTCAAAAATGTAAAAGATTTTGCTGAAAGAGTAACTTTTTTATTTGTTCGGAGCTGAAACTGAGTATTTGTGGAGTCCAAGTACATCATACATCACTGCAAGTAAAAAAGTAGGTGACAAAAGGATTGAGCTAACAGTAATTAATTACGTTAAGTATTTTATAGGTTCTTTTTAAATGATGTTAACATTACATATTTTCAACAGCAACAAAAAGTAAATACAATATAATTGGTATAGTTGATTTATTTTTAATTTTATCATATTAAAACAATAAAGTTTAACTTCTCTATAAAATGATGTGTTGTAACATACTGTGTTGTAAACAATAATGATATAATAATGAAAACAATAATGAAAAATAATGTGTTGTAAACATACTAATACAGGGTGGCCACTAGTCATGGAAATCATGGAAATTATGTAAATGTCATAGAATTTTATTAGGCCATGGAAAAAGTCATGGAATTCCTAAATTTTCATTGAAAGTCATGGAACTTTTTAAAATTATCTTTATTTTTTGGATGCAAAGAAAAGTACTAGTATGTCTAGTCCTTTTTAAAAAAGATATTTTTGCAGTGTAATTTATCAGAGAAGTAAAAGAAAAAGAGTTTTATTTAGATTTCAGAACTTTTTACCAATTAGTTTTTGGTTTGAATACTTTATAATGACCAAGTTGCAATTGCTTAGTGTATGACAAGTTATAATTGCTTAGTGCATGACAAGTTATAATTGCTTAGTGTATGACAAGTACTGAATATTTTACTCTAAGGATTTATCATATAAGTTTATGAAAAGTCATGGAATTTCATTTTCAAATTTGAGTGGCCACCCTGTAATAATGTGTTGTAAAAGAAATAAATGAAGCAAACTTATGTTGGATGTAATATAATAATACAATTTTTAACATTGTAAATGCAAACTATTTTAAACTTTCTCTATTGAAATATAGCAATTGCCACCACAAAGTTGCCTAACAAAAAAATAACACAATTTGAATTTATTCATTTAAATTGGAATTTATTCATTTGAATTGCCTATAGAAAAAAATTATATACGTAGGTCCATTAAAAAAAAATGATCTTAATTGTAGAAAAATTTGGATTTTGTTGAATATTTTTACAAAATAACTATTATAATGATAATAAAAACATAGATAAGCTACACAAAAAAATTTAATACCTGTATAATCCAATATCTCCTAATTGATTTGTCTGAAAAATCCAAGGGATTAAATTTTTATTAATATTTAACTTTAACACTTTCTTATTCACAACTACACACCAAGTGGGCTACATTTTGATGATCAACTGCCCCTGAAAAAGTGGCTTTGTAGGAAAGATTTATCAACTTCACAACATTGTTTTTTTCTTTGTCATATAAACTTACCAAATATGCCTTTAAATTACTTTAAATTTAGTGTGAGATGAATTTTACCAGTCTTTTCAGTAAGCCAGTTATTTCTAATTGATTTAAATAATGGGCGGGATCAGGAAGAATACAAGATTTTCATTGTTAATAATGCCTGACCATGGCATATCTACTTTCTAAGTAAAGTTTTTATAGATACTACAGTTTATTGTAAGATTGTCTGAAATAAGCCATAAAATTTCACTGCCTAGTTCAGCCACTGACTGAGTGATTTGAACAATTGAACTTATTAAAAAATAAACAGAAAGCTTAAAGATTGGTACCATACAACAAACAATATTTTGGTTTCTATAAGTACTTAATATGCACAATACTTATCTTAATATTATTTTTAATCATATATAGTATATACTATAAGTTACTTTAAACTTAATTTGAAAAACTCACTTGATATTTAAATCTTTTAAGATAATGGATACTGCATCCTAAAGGCCAGTGCTTTTCATGAATACTCATATTATTAGTTGGATTTAAAATTTTATTTGGTAGAGCTTGA